CCATATATGCCCCATAGCTGCAGAAAAGGCTAACATTGTTATCTTTTTACAAAAAGACAGCTGAACATGAGAGGTTTTTGGACCAATTTTGTGTTCTCCATTCTTTAAGCACCAGTTCAAGCACCGGTTCGAGCACCAGCACCATTTCAAGAGTACCAGTTTGGTACTGGTATTGGATAAAACCTAAACGATACCCATCCCTATATATCATATGTTGGGTGTTTTCTGACCAAAACAAACAAAAACCCACCACACAGGGGTACTAACCTGTTGAAACCCTGTCCCTCCTGGCGCTCCAGTACTGTCTGAATGTTCGGTTCATATTAGAAGGACTGCGTGAGCCAGTGTGGCGGTACTTCAACCGATCCCTGTGTTCTAAATGCAAAAAATGAAGATGAGTGAAGTTTCCAGCACAGCACCTCATACATAACAAAAGCATAGTGCACACCTTATTTAAAAGCCAAAGGTTGCATCATATCTGATCTATGTAAATGGATTTCATTAGGCTACTGGTCCTGTTAACTGTTACCAGAAAGTTAAAAAGTGATTAAAGATTTGACTTGTTTAACTATGCGGCTAACAAGTCCAAATATATCCACTAATTAAGACAGACTACACCTCTCTTCATTTGGCCGTGCTTCAGTGGTCTCATGATAAATAAAAAGCTGCCTGTTAGTGGGAAATAAACACCCCAAGCCTCCATACAATATAATTAGAGCCTATGCATTTAAACTACGGCTCAATGCAACAAAAGTCATCTTTAAAACCAAACCTAAAAACTGATTAGTGAACAGCTGAACTCAGTTTGGGAGCTGTTAAAAGGTGACTGCTGTTGTGATTTTGGGCTATATAACAAAAACTGAATTGAAATGGCACAAAATTATATTTCAGAGTGCAGCGTGGTTACACATTGTGAACTGTGTACATCATGTTCCCTTCTGGCATGAGATGTACCTGTGTCATGCATCTGCTGTGGGTAACGCTGAGGGGAATTACGCCTCCTCTGTGGCCTGAATGGGTGGCTGTCCACCCGACGTTTTTTTGAAGGAGGACTTGGAGAACGAGACAGGGAGTGAGACATGGAACGGGATGGAGAGCCATCCTTGGGATCCCACAGAGCACGGCTGCCATATCGTCCACTCCGACTAGAAACAGAAAGAAAAAAAGACATTAAGTTGTAATGACCCTTCGTTTTAGCCAGGTCTCACACTATGGAGAGACCCAATCAAAGGTCAGGCTCCTGTTTCTAACTGCAGGGGGCTTTGGCTCTATGATGGGACACATATCTGGATCAGGAGAGCGATGCAGGAGGAGCTTCATGAAATTCTGTTTGCTGTTTCTTTCTATTTGTCCTCAATTTCTTAACAGCAGCCAATACTGCACAGACATGTGATTTTTTATAACTGGTTCCACTGTTGTGTATAGTTAACCCTACAGAGTGTTCAAGTGCCCATACTGAACAATAACAATTTGATAAAGCTGTTAATACCAATAAAGCACATTCTATGCAAGGAAGCAAACTGTAGTGAAGATTACTTTTACTCATCCATCACATATGGACTCATTTATGGAACAAGACAATTCAGAACCACCTTCAAATGTATAAGCAACACGATTTCTAAGTAATTTGTCCTTTTTTAAACACTAGCAAGTTATGTGAAACCTTTTCAAGCCATCTGATTAAAGTGACTTCCACCGGTTGTGGAGCTAAAAACAGAACCATTAGAGGACAGGTCTGACTGACCTTGGCAGATTTGGTTTCCAGCCAGGGTACCTTTAGAGAAAAACAAGAAGATGAGATTATCAAGAGAGTCGGGAACCTATCAAATACAAGGATCTAGGTCTTTTTCCTTGGTATATGATGAGACGATCATATCCTGAGGAAAAATACCTTCAATAGCCTGGAAGGTATTTGTTTAAAAGGTCATTGTCCTGATCGTGGCTCAGGGGGTTGGGAATCGCATCTGTAACCGGAAGGTCACCGGTTCGATCCCTGGCCTCTCTGTCCTGGTCATTGTGTCCTTGGGCAAGACAATTTACCCTACTTGCCTACTGGTGTTGGCCAGAGGGGCCGATGGTGTGAGGCCGATGGCAGCCTCGCTTCTGTCAGTCTGCCCCAGGGCAGCTGTGGCTACAACTGTAGCTGCTTCCACCAGTGTGTGAATGTGAGAGTGACTGAATAGTGGCATGGTAAAGCGCTTTGGGTGCCTTGAAAAGTGCTATATAAATCCATTATTATTATTTTGACAGCTGAATCATTGTTGGCCTCATCCCTTCCCCTCTCTAACTGTATTCTCCCCTGAAAGGTCACTACTGGTGCTCACCCCAACTGATCGCTGCACATGGCCCCGCCCCTCCCGGAGCCTAGTTCCGTCAGAGGTTACTTCCTGTTAAAAGGGAGTTTTCCTTCCCGCTGTTGCCACATGCTCTGTCATAGGGGAGCGTCTGATTGTTGGCCTTTCCTTTCTAATAGTATCAGCTCTTTTTGTCCTGACCACCAGCACCAATAGAGCTGGAGTCCACTTACATGACAGAGCATTTAACTTATTGCCCCGGTATTCATCTGTCATAAAGTAATTCACAAACAATATGTGTGTGACTTTGCATGCATTTCTTACTTTCTGACACCTAAAAAAGCACAACAGAGAGCCAGTCCCATCCATCCATCCATTCGCTTCCGCGTATCCTTTTCAGGGTCGCGGGGGGCGCTGGAGCCTATCCCAGCTGTCATAGGGCGAGAGGCAGGGTACACCCTGGACAGGTCGCCAGTCTGTCGCAGGGCCAACACACAGGGACAGACAACAATTCACACTCACATTCATTCACACCTAGTGGCAATTTGGATTATCCAATTAACCTATCCCCACAGAGAGCCAGTCATCACTGTTTATCCTGCTACACTGCAGGTAGAAGGTTTCAGGAACACATTAAAGATTCCTCACTTGTTGCGCAGATCTCTGCAGGCAGCTGTGTGGTTGACAGTGTTAACATGTTTAACCCAGTCCTGGAAAAAAAAAAAATCATCAAATCTTCATCAAAGACAGAAAGTCAAAGAAATTTAATGTAAATTCTGCGTAATGGATCTTTGTGTCAGCTGGCAGCATGGTGTGCAAAGGCCCGTGTCTGTGATTTGGTCTTTCTGCTCACATCATGTTACAGATGCTGGCAGAAGTGACATCATTTGTTTATCTGGTTGCACTCTTCTATTTCCATCATCTGAAGTGTAGTTACTCATCTTCAAACTAACAGAAGTTTCCTCGCTGCCAGAGAAAAAGGCAAATGCTGTTCAGACCAATCCAATGTCTTTTTCGGACACTGGATTGGTCTGAACAGCATTATTTATGTACCAATCACTTTCCTATGCTGTGGAATCCCTGTTAGATCCTGGGATGTATGAAAATGAATATATTCAACCATTTAAAAATTTCATTATGCCAAGTGATTAGATGGTCTCCACCTTACTTATTCTGTCTTTTTGTGTGTTTTTTTAAGAAAAGCTAAACCAACTGTCAAATATGGGAAATGTTTGTGTCTCGCAACTATACAGGTTCTTAAAGTTATATTAATTATAAGCCTAAACATAGGTGATTACAGACAATTCAACTTTATTTATATAGCGCCAAATCATGTCAACAGTTGCCTTGAGGTGCTTCAAAGACAGAGTACAAACAATTTTCAAACTTTGATGTCTCAATGAAAACACAATCTGCAGGGATACCCACCACAAAACCAAAAACCAAAGCACTGAGTAAAAGAGTTTATTTAACAGTAGTAATTTTAAGAATTATTTCATTATCCTTGATTTTCCTGAGTTTTAACAACTTTTTAAAAGGATTTATTCAGTACACACGCTTATTACTACAGCTATTAAAAAACCAAGAAGTAGTATCCTGTTTAAGCAATAACTCGATGGAGTTTTATATAAAACAGCTAATCGGGAGAGTACTTTTTGAAAAAGCAGTTCCAGGTTTAACCTTTTGATAAGTTTGCGGAGTAACATGTTTCACAGTTAAGAAACAGCCGATTTCTCCTGCCATAGTGGCAACGCTTTCAAATCATTTAACTTCACCAGACAGTTGCCTCTTCTCTTGAAGAAAACCTGGTAGTGACAAGACCCTGAGGTTTCTGTTTGTGGAAGCACCTCCTAATTTGGGCGAGGATACGCAGATGCTGTCGGATGACTACACATCAACCCCCACCTCTAATGGTTGTTCTAAAGTATCAATGAAATCATTACGAGACAAAAGGAAGTAAAGAAAAATAGGTCTTTAAGTTGTTGCCATCTTAGCAAGTTGATTTCCCAAACAGTCAAAGAACCAAACAAGCAAAAAAAAAAAAAAAAAAAAAAGCAAACCTCGATTTAATTACTATTGTGATTTAGCATCATGGATTCTCCATGAGGCTTTTCCATCACCAATGTTTTTTTTTTACCTGTCCCCAAATAGTTGACTAAAAGTTGGTCAGTGAGAGGCATCTTAGTCAAAATTCACAGGATGTGGCAACATTTAGAATACTTTAATCATCCCTAAGGAAGGAAATTATGTTTTCAAATAACCATTTACTGCACTCCATTGATATTTAAGAGTAATTAAATATAACGGAGTAATTTGAAAGTGTGGGATTGCTTTCTTTAAAGTGGGGAAACACATGAAGTCCCAATGAATTTTATTTAAAGCTTGTTAAGTCCTACCTACTGATGCTTGTACCTCCACAGTTCTCTTTTTATCCCTGTGGTAGGGTATGTTAGCAACACTTAAGGGAACTTCAGCTGTGACAACAGCTTATATCCAAGACGGTGACGGCCACGTGTAGCTGTCAGAAGTACAAATACCTGGCTTAATTATTGATGATTTCTGCCTTTTTTGTGTATAGGAAACATCATCCATGCAAAAATATATAAAAGACAACATCTCGACAATTGTCTGGTGAAGATTGCGGACTACAATTTATTACTCAGAGGTACTCTTTTAGGAAAACTGTTGGACATTGTTAAATGGGCATTCACGAGGGCACTCACCTTTTCCTGGTCACACACTATGTGGCATAGGGAGCAGGTATGGGGATACACCTTTGGAGACACAGCTGAGAAATCACTTATCATGGTGGGTGTAGGTAACTTCTTGCCGCTGCTGTGTGGTTTTGACCCACACGAAGAGGACAGGGACCTTTTCGAAGAAACGTCACTCCTTGTTTCGGATGGCAGTCTTTGTTTGGTTCCATCACGCCTGTAGTCTCTGTCTAGATCACGGGATCTAGGAGATAGAGAAAGTTCTTTCCCTGGTGAATGACTGCTCTCGCGCTGGAGGCTGCTCGTCCTGCGATAGTCACTGTCTCCATGCTTGCTTGGTTCAGTGTGTTCCAAATGAACCTGCCGTCTTTCACTTTTATCTACTTTTGTAGCTGATGAAGAGGACAAGGCTGGGAACATTTTAACTGTCCGTTCACTAGACAGTAGTTCTCTTTTGAAGTTCCCCATGTTAGTGCTTTCGTCCTTGGTGCGACTGGCATGCCCATAGTCAATGACTTTACCAGCTGTCTGTGTAACAGTAAGGAGGCTGGGCACTTCTGGAGAATGAGAACATGCCAATGCAGACGAGTGGGAAGGAGGCAATGGCATGTCATGGGCGCTGTGTGAAAATGAGGACGAGCTAGTGGAAGCCGAAGTCTTCTGTTTCCCTGACTTGTTGATTTGGATATCACGGAGTATGAACGGCAAGGTGTCTGGGGTTAACTGATCATCAGGGTAGTGACTCAGGACTTCCAAGTCCTCATTTGAAAGTCCAAAGCTAGCCAAGATACTTCCTGCGCTCTCTGGTGTGTATAAACTCGGACCCTCCCCACTGGCACCATGGACATGCCGAACTTGGTTCGAAAGAGATTCACATACAGACGGAGTCCAAATTGAGAGTCTTGGTCCTGCTTGGGTGTTCTGAGGCTGTTGGGCCCCTTGTTGTGACTGATGACTTGAAGAAGGTGGAGGAGCAGCAAACAGTTTAGCTGGAGGTTGGTAGCTTGACCAATCTACTCTCTGGTGGTGTTCAGACTGACTGTCAGTGGGGAGGGATACTGGGTTAGAGCCAAAGTTTCCATGCTGACTGGTCCCAGAACCTTGGTTCTGGTGTGGATCTGGTTGGGTCATGTGATCAATCTGGCGGTGGTCCATGTCCCTGGTACCCCGGATTGCCAGTGCAGACTCAAGCTCATCAGGTAGTTGGGTCGGACGAGGAAACTGGAAACCCATCACCTGCATATTAGAGCGAGTCTGATGTTGATTCGGAGGTGGCTGACGAGGTGGTGGTCTGCCCCCATTAGAAAATGGCTGTGAGCCCTGTGGGTGTTGGTGATACATGGCAGCAGACAGACAAGGCCGTGTGGTTCTGTAGGTTTTATAGCTTGTGTACCCCACAGCCTGAGGTCGATTGAAAAGAGTCAGGAGGGCCAGGTGAGGAGGTAGCGCTGCTGTAAACCAGTTGCTGTGACACTGGCTGCCGAAAGTGATGGTGGCTAAAGCAGCAAGCTGCCGAAGAGCAATCTGTGCCTCGGTCTCAACCTGCGCCAATCGGAGAGCTATCACTCCAGCAAGACCAGCCGTAGGCCCAAATATGAAATGGGTCCCTCTGGTAGTGTCGGCGATGGTGAATGTTGCACTGGGCTCCAAATTAAGGACAGGAGTAAGATGTGAATTACTGTCTGTACGGACAGCGAGGCTGAGGTGAAAAGCAGAAATATACTATTACAAATAAACGAGAGTTCATTTTTCATTTCAACAGCAGCTTTAAAATAAAGTCTCTGTTTTATCTTCCAGGCACTTGAAAAAGTTTACCAGTCCTCGCTGTGTTTGCGGTGCCTTCTTGAAAACTTTAAGAAATTTGGTCAGCTTTAAGTCTAGTAGTGGAGCGTGTCGCCCATCCTGCTTTTCCTTTGTCATGGAAAAGCAAAGCAACATTATGCACAAACAACTAACAGTGAGAATGATGACCCCAAACAGCAAATACTAACGAAACAACCAAATTAAACACTACACATGTTAGTCTAACCTGACAGGTAAAAACCTG